ATTGTAATCTCATTGTCACTGTATGATTGACTGACATTCCTTTATCTGTTCTGTATGTGATGACCTCAGAATCTTATTGTAATGTCTGCATTCTGTCATCAATTGCTCTGTACCTGTATATGTGACTGGGAGGGTATAAAATACCCTGTAGTTGTATTGACACTTAGCAGCGAGTTTACTTCTGCCTGCCCGGTAATGCATTATCGTGAGTCTACCACGGGAACCTGGGCCAAACAATAAAGCCACAGATGGTCTGGACAATTGATCTTTCCCATGAACCCGAGTTTTATTTCCTCCTCACGAATTGAAATTCCGGGATTTTCTGACAGTATATAGTCAATTGCAAGTGCATAATATGTGCCACCAAACTGCATTCAGTTTCCTGGACATCTGTTTTGTCTATCAAAATATTACCTTTTGAATGGTCTCCAGGTTATCAGGGTTGATTTTGGTTATGAAGTTTGTCTCAGTACAGGCATAAAAATCTTCACCCACAGGGTATACATTGACCAGAGCATTGTCAGTGACCTCTACACCTTGGAAATAGGAAAAAAATCTGCCAAATAGAACCCATAAGGGAATAGATTACTTCTTCCACCCAATAGAAATCTGGATTAGCCTCCAACAATAAACAATTGTTTTTCACCTGGAAAATATATTCTTGCATGGATCTGGGTAAGCATATGTGCCAAACTCTGTTATTACTACTCTTTTTTCAGTCATTGCCCTGACATAGGCATCAGTCCGGATAAACCTATAAAGGAAACAAAATAAAACCACTTCATTCAATATCTGTTCTGCATTTCAGCAAAGAAAGTGGCTAACAAAATACAGATTAAGAAAACCTTAATTAAAACATTAAAAATAAAATGTAGAAATGTAAAAAATAAAACATAACATTTTAATGTTTATTTTAAAAAATAAAATAAGTAGCTAATTAAAACAGCCTGCTCGAGGAAGGACAGCCAAGAGGGTGCCAAGCTAGTTTCCCTTGGTAAGGAGTTTCAGAGCCTCTGAAATTATTTACTCTTGCCTCCCTATTAAACATGCCTCTGATGATGGCAGTGCCAAGAAAAGGGATGGGGGGTGTAAATTGGTGTCCTGCAACAGCAGAGGGTTGGAACCAATGGCCTTCATGGTCCCTTCCAACTGCACTATTCTATGATTCGATACTGAATGCACTTACATGTTGCCAGTACCAGTATGGTTGTTGCTGGCTCAGGCACCACTTCTGTTAACATGCACAACATTTACCCAAGACGGTAAAGGTGGTTATATGTGGTTATATGTGACAGCAGTGCTGTGCCCCCTTCCAAAGTTCAATATATAGATGATGTGCAATTCTAGCTGTCATTTTCCCCAACTTGTCCCAGGGAGGATGTGGAAACCTGGAATGACTATCTAGAAGCAGATTCAGTTGAATGAGGGCAAGCAAGCTGAGGTTTAATCCATGTAAGATTTTGAGTGTGGAAATCTGCTGATTTGGACAATGGTGTGAGGCTGGTGTTAGATGGCATCATGCTTCCTGTGAAGGATCAAGTGTATAGCTTGGGAGTTCTCCTGGTCTTCACAATCTACAGAAGTTGAGGCAGTGTTATCACTTGCAGAATTGCCTTTCTCATTTTCAACTGATTCACCCCATCAAGAGAAAGTAGTCCTTTTGTTCATGTTCCAGCTATATCTGGACTAAGCTGTTGTAATGTGCTCCTGTATGGGGAGGCATTTAAAAATAGTTCAGAAGCATTGACTGCTGCTTTCAGAGGCTAAGCTATTAGAACATTTAATCCATACCAGCAGACACTGCTTGCTAGTTTCTTGTCTTGTGCACATTTTTCCCATTCTAAAATGTTGTCATGCCTCTCTTAAATCCTAGTTGCTGACTGTAAGAGCTATAAGTTAAAGTATGCTCATATTTTTTGCCCTGCTCCCAGTGCTGTTGGCCCTGCTTGCCACTAGAATGCAGCCTACTCAAGAGCTGGTCTGAAACTGAATTCAGTCCTCAAGCTGAAAGAGGCTCTACATCCCAGCACCAATAATGAAAGCTGAAACCTCAGTAACCAAAGTATGAGTTATCAGGTATCCTTTATTCAATATTCAATGTGGTTCACAATTCTTGTCTTTTTTTCCAAAACACCTGTGCAAGCAGTCCAAATGCATATTGGTTTTGGAACAGAATAATTGTTAATGTGGGTTTGAGTTATACAAGGAGATAAGGAATGTGGAGTTGGGGGATGCAAGCCCTTGTGTTGGGCTTGACTGTGGACAGTGGAACATAGTAAGTCAAAGTGGGAAAGGTTCTTACCTTCTGTAATAAGTGACATGACCCTCCTTAAAGTCAAACTTATGAAGCAGTGCTTGGCCATCAAACAAATGATAAAATGGTTCAGAACCAACTTCAAATAATCCAGGGCCACATCTGAGGAGACTGCCTCTGAGCCAGACTGGAATCCTGCCTGTTTAGAAAAACAGCAAATGTGGTTGTGAAATTCTGAGGAAACAGAGCACCTATTGGAGTTAAACTGTCTGAAATCAGGTTCTGCTAAACTTTAGTGGCTAAGCTATGAGGTAGGTGACCAACTGAGTGACAAATGGTGATGACGACGTGTGTGCCTTGGCTCAGTCTTCACTTATTCTTTCCATCTGAGTGTGGTGTAGTGGTTAAGAGTGTGGGGCTAGGACTCGGGATTAGAGTTCTAGTCTCATTGACCATGAAGCTCTCCAGCTGACCTTGGGCCAGTCGCAGACACTCAGCCTGTGATGAGGCTTCTTGTGAGAATAAGATGAAGAAGTGAACCTTGTAAGCTGCCTTGGATTTCTTGCAAAAGGAGGAAAGGCAGCCCAGAAATGTTACCTAATAGCAGCAGCAATTAGCATCCCCATCATCACCATGTTTGTGAGAGCCAAGCTCTTCAGGGCTGGTTTGACAAAGCCTCTTGTTAAGAAATCCATTTTGTGTTAAGGTTGAATTGCTTGAAAGAAAGTTCCATGACATGAAACTAGGCCTGTACCCATTGATTAGACAACCTGTGAATGTTGTTCTGTGTTGATTTTGTCCACAGGCCTTCAAGGTAAGAGCTCAATTCTTGCCAAAATTAGATTGATCTTAGTTGCACTGAGAATTTTGCAGCCCCTCTCCCCTCCTGAAAGCCAAATAAGTGTTTCATCCCATTTGTGAGGCTTGTCTCTGAGGAAACTATTTAGCTAGGCAAGGACTGACTCACTTCACATTTGTCAAGGGCTGGGATCAGGGAGAGTACAAAGATTGAGGGGGGTGGGCTCCTGTTGCCATTTGGTCTTTGATTCTTCTAACCTTCAGTCTTCATCTGTCCGTGCTAAGAGGCTTTTGGGTCTGTGGATTGCAAATTAGTGCCTATCCTATGAGAAGACCATTACTAGTTAAAGTTTAGGATTAGGTAAAGGTTAGGGTTAGGTATTGCTTTGTTATTTTTCCATCTGGCATTGTTCTGAAGAATTTCTCTGGTCTCTCTGGTTTTTCTTTTATGTTCTCTAACATTTGTAGACCTTCTTACACACGTTCTCATTTTTAAATGTAAGTAAAATGCACATCAGTTTTAAGGTTTGTGTGTGTTTTATTCCATTTAAGCCTCAGTTTAAATTTAGAACCTTCTTGTTTGGTGATGCTATTGTTAAGCTTTGGGCTTGAAATGGAAGGTGTTGGCCCAAACTCTTTATTTTTGTACCTCAGGTATGTCCTGAAAAATCTAACCCTGAACAATGTGGATGTAACAGGTGGCAGCAGCCTACCAGCAATTACGTCTCTGTTGCTGCACTGTAGGGAATTGGGAGCTGAGCAACTCCCTTCCCTTCTGATTGTATATTCTAAGTAAACTACTTGTGTCCCCTAGATCAGCGGCAGTTCAATGCCCTTTGTGGAGCTCCTCAGCATATCTTCGACTTAGTCCGATGTGACGGAGAGCTGCACTCTGGAATCTGGCCAAGTCCCTGTCTTTGCAATCCTTGCTTCATAAAAGGACCAGGAAGAGTAGCTGCTATTCCTGGTGGTTGGGTCTTTAATTTTATGAAGCACCCACCATTTGCACTGGAGTGACACATGCACACAAAAGGTTCCAACCATTGTTCACATCCCTATTTTCTCTCAGAGATAACTGCGAGTCTTTCCTACAGGGGTGGGAATCTGCCAGAGGGAGGGGCTTGGCTTACAAGACCCTGACCCTAGGAGGAATCACACGTCAGGAGGCTCCTCAGGCCTGATAGACTTGATTAGACACCCAGACAGGAGATTCTGCATCCAGTTTAGGACTGAGCCTGAAATGTGAGATTTACATAACAGAGAACAAATGTCCACAACAGTAAGTTTTTACTTAATCCAGACAAGACAAAGGTGCTGTGTGTAGAGAAATCAACTGTTCTGAATTAGGGGTTGAAACCGATCTTACAGGGGGATGCACTCCCCCGAAGGACCAAAAGCACAGTTTAGGAGTTCTCCTGGATTCTGCTCTGGAGAAGCTCAAGTAATGATGGGGTCCAGAAATATGGGTACATTTTCTTGGCCAGATGCAGCTTTTTCAGGAGAGGTCTGAAGTTGCCTTGGTTGACTGCTATTGACATCCAAGCTAAAGTACTTTAATGGGGCTTACGTGAAGTTGCCTTGAAGGAAGTCTGGAAACTTCTTCCAGTTGTGCAGAATGTGGCCATATGAGTATTGATAAAACAGACCTTGTAACTCCTATACTGCATGCAGGACAAGCACCAGACAACTAGGATACTACAACAAATATCAGAGGAAATAAATGTTTTGTAAATGTCTTGGGTGGCATCTGGAAAATATATTCAGAAAAGTGCTACTTTGTTACAGTAATGATTTTCTATTGGCATGTGAAATGGCCTGCCAAATTGACTTTAATGGTATTTATTTAGCCCAACTGTGCACAAAATTTCAGTATCAGATAACACCGAATTTGTGGTTACAGCAGGGAATAAATGTAACATTTTCTTTTCTTTTTTTTTTTAGAAATCGCTTCAGTTTTCAGATATGGGAATTTAAATTTTGCTTCTAATTAAATAATTCTACAATTAAGAATGGCCAGAGTTTCTCTTCCTTCCCTCCCTCACATAATTCTGAGTATGACAATTATCAACTATTTATCTCACTCATCCTGGAATGGTTTGTTTGATCAATGTGAAGACAAATGTTCTTCAAATGTTCATCAAATGTTACCAAAGCAATGTGAAGAGCATTAGAAATCAACAGACCTGTGACATGAGCAGTTATTGGTGAGGACAGTTCTTCCACAGTCTCAAATAGCTTTTTGTAGCCACCGGCTGGGTGCTCAACTCTGAAAGGTTTTAAGAAAGCCAAGGATGAGCAATTTAGTAATTTCTTCAGCTGTACCCTCTATTATTGGATGAAGAACAGCTTTACACTGAACATGAATTGACCTGACCTGACAGAAGACAAGATAATCCTTGATCTTGCTGCCATTCCCAAAAAACAATTACTAGTCAGTCCCCTTTAGCCAAAATGCAGTTGGTTGTGTTTTCTGCTAGAGATATATTCCATTCTAGAATGTGCTGTTAGAAACCAGAATTCACACACTTTTTCCAGAATCCAAATGTGTGCAGGCAGATGCTTCCCCAAGAAGAAATCACACTAAATATGGAATAAATGTGCACAGATCCTGCCAGTCATTACCCTCCAGAGACATTGCAATCCTGCCTCATCACATGTTGAGCACAGCACAGATTCCATCTTTGCCATGAGCTAAATATCAGTCACAATTCTTAAGCTAGATGTCCAGTTATGCTTGCCCAGTGGAGCTTTGGATATACTTATTTTCAAACAGCAATTCAAACTGTTTGCCATGTCCCACAGCAAACTGCCTTTGAAAAATAGGGCCATGCAGTGTGGGCGTGTGAGTTCCTGCCATTAAAAAATAATGATATCAAATCTCACTAAGCATGCATAAACCTTTGAAAGCAACAGAAGAAACTTCTTAAGAATTCTACAAAAGTTTAATTGGGCATGCTTTTATTGGGCATGCTTTTATTTCAGAGCATCTTTTTTCCATCAGTTAAAAAAGTAGTTGCTTCTTGAGAATGTCCCATTTCAGTGCTCCCTATTGGATTTTCTATGTTCACTTCCCCCATAATATCCTGTAGAATCTTTTCATAATATCGTACGAGTCCCACAGATGGCAGCCGAGGAAGATGCATGCCCTCTTTTCTTCTGAGGAATATGCTAGCTTCAACCATCTGGTGGCAGGATTGCACTTTTGCTTGGCCACCATTTAAATGTCTATGCAGAGAAAATCTTAGAGGATACTTACTGACTGGACATTTTCTTGCAAGAAAGGATCAGAAATTTCCTGAGTCAAGTGCAGAGTATGGAAGTCAGAGATGTTCTCTGTGTATTTATATGAATGTTTGCCCTTACTGACAGGAGCAATAGCTTTAAAGAGACATATGAGCCAATCAGCTGGGCTCCAGGGAACAGAAGTATCTTTCACTACTCAAATCCTTCTGAAGCTTTATAAGATTTTGTCCTGCTGTTCAAAGGTCTTTGAATGTTTTCCAGAGACCTTAAATCCCCATGCAGAAGTGGATTACCAAGAAACAACAAGGAAAAGAAAGCAGACTGTAGTCACACAGCCTGTAATGTGCTTGCTGCTTAGCCATTACCTAAATGTCCAGCTTTGATGAACTGGCCCTTCAGCACACTGCTGGCCCCGACAGGCAAGAAAATATGCACTGCCCCTGGGTGCAGCATATGTTCAGGAGACATTTTGTTCTCTCTAATGGAGAATCTCTGATAAACACAAAACAGGAGATGGCAGCAGCTTCCTAGGTCAGTTCCTAATTTATCACTTCCCATAACCTCCCATACTTCTTTCTCAAGGCTCAAATTTTATTGCAAAAATCTATTTTTTTTCTAAGAAATATTTAAAAAACAACTGCTCAAGCTCAGAAATGTTTTATTGAATCTCTCTCACACACGGAAACAATACAAGCAGCACCTCAATCATTTTTAGGAGAGGCTGATGTTTGCACACATCAGCCTTAATACAGAAATGAAATCCTCAAATAACTGCAGTGGTGTTCCCAATAGAAGGAAGTGAAAAGTGGGAGGAATTAATATCTCCCCTTTCTGGAGAATCAGGAAACTATTGAAAGAGTACACCAACAACTTCTAATTCAACTCAAGAAATCAAGAGGATCATACTGACAAGGGGGAGCTATTATCCCCTTGCCTTTTGGTATGTGTGCTTTCCTCCACCCCATTTTTCAGTGCTTCTAAATTGTGCTATCAGGTTTCTCCTCTCTCTGATTCTTTCACTGGTCCTTTGTAACACTGCAGAAATTACCTGATAAGCAACTTCATCTGTCCAGTTTACATCTGTTACTCATTTCCATTCCCATTCCGTGTTCCTTTTGACCACTGAATCAGACACTGCAGTTAACTAGGTGAGACTATACCATATCAGACATGGTAAGAAAGTATTTGTGAAAAGCTAATAAAATCACAACAAATTGCTATTTGTGTTTGGAACAAGTGATGGTCCTTTCACAGTATCCTGTCATGTGGCAAAGGAAGGACAGGCATTGGTAATATTGTGAAGAGTGACTGACATGGACTTTTTTGCAGCTTTTGCTAAGTATCTTTCTAACCAATTGCTGCCATCCACAATAAAATCAATCTTCCAGGATCGGATGACAGGACAATCCATTATAGGTAAGAACAACACTATAGCAAGCCATGGGTTGTCAACATGACTTGTTCCCCAAAATAAGCAACCCTGTGGAGGTTAACGTTCTGGGTTTGGATAGCTGGATGCCTATGGAGGGTTATTGTGTCACATAAACCAAGTCATTGTTAAAACCAGGGTTCACATATAGCAAGAACCTACAAGAATCATAAGAATCTATACTCTGGGGTTAGTTAGTTATTTAGATTTCTAGGCGGACCATGTGAGAACCAGGATGCAGAGCTGAATAAGCTTTTAATTCCCTCATTCATACTCACAGATCTTCTGCCTAGTATGTAAACAAAAATGCCATTTTATATAATAAGATAATTGCATGGACAAAAAGACCCAACACACTGGTATTAATATATGCTATTAATATATTTGTTAAGTAGGATTCCCCCTCCCCAAAAGCTTTAATCAGTGCCAATCATTTTAGCAAACAGCATGTACACACAGAATTTTAGGGAATATTGAATGAGCTCAAAATAAATATATTCAATAAAACAAAAATATATTTTAATAGGAAAATCTGATAAACAATAAAATGGCTATTTTAACACAGCATGCTAGACTTCAGTACAATACATATAGATGCCATAGAAAACATGAAACATAATGTGGATGGCTTATTTTGGTAGATGTAACTTTTTCTTGACTGACCTTGTTTTATTAATTTCATAGAGAAAAAGAAAAAATTAGCTCCTCCTTACAGGGCTTAGAAGTAAAAATTCAAACAGTTAGGGTTTCTAAGAAGGTTCTTTTGGTTTATTCTTTAAAATCCTAATAAAAAAGGAAGAGGAAACAAAAGTGCATGGGATACGAGACTCAAACAGATTTAAAGTGTAGGTTTTCTCATTTTTTTCCTAATTTCCTTCAGAAAAATAAAACTGCCTCATAAACATTCTCTGTCTGTATTCTCATAAGTGACTTTTGAACACCATCAAAGGTGGCTGCATATAACTCAGTTGATTATGGACATCCAGTCGTGGGGTGGGAAGAACACAATGGCCAGGATGACCTTCATGCTTGCTTTAACATTCAGATGGTTAAAATCAGCTGTCTAAATGTTTTTCCCATTCTTCCAAGGAGGAAAGGGTTAGGCACCATCAGGATTTTTCAGAACATAGCAGAATCTCCTTCCCCGTTCCCACAGAACACTCTATCACTGTGCAGAATCCAAATATGGTTTTTTCATTGAAGCCCAGAGTACATTGAAAGAATGTGCCATCCTTACTTAGACAATCCAAAAAGAATGGCTAGTGCCTTAATAATAGTAACAATCTTTAAAAATAATAGTGCACTGTATATTAAACTGAAAAATGATCCTCTTAGAGAGGTGACTTTTTTTTCACATAACACTTTTTAAAGTATTTACTGCCAGCACAATTCCATGCACACTAAGCTGCTACTTTTATTGCATTACTGATATATTTTCTATGACCTACTGTTTTATCATTCTTCCCCTGCAGATATTCAAGCCTAATTCCAAACCACTGTAACTTGTAGAATTCAGAAATTTTAAGACAAACTCCTAGTGTAGATTTTGCTGTAATCAATAGTTCAACTACGTGCATGTGAATGTATGCCCAAATATAGGGAATGGAGGCTTTTATATAAAAGCTTAGCAGATATATTGCCCCTTTCACTTATCTGTTGAGCACATCTGTCCCCTTTAATCCCCCGCCCCATCCTCTGCTTGGGCCTACCAATCACACTGTTCTTCTGCCATACAGGCTTTTCAGGGAAATTATGGTCTACCTTAGTAATTCATTCATTTTACAGAGCTAAAGCAAATGCAAAAGGCAATTGCTTAAGAACAGTTGGGGGAGAAAGGTGCAGGGGGTGTGATAGGGTGAAGAAGCAGATAAGAGTTGTATTTATGTCATTCCACTAGTCTCTCCAAGTGTTTTGGATTACACTGACTAATCAAAACCAGGGGAATTACAGTTCTCCAAATGTTTGCCTTCAGGTGATTTGGATTACAACTCCCAAGAATCTTGATCACTGGTCATGTAGGCAGGAGGCTGATGGGAGGGGAATTTCAGAATATCTGTAATGCACCTACAGGATTTGAGTCAGTTTGTGCACAAACTGTCCTACAACACATTTTATAACTTCTTTAGGTTAGGCATTGCTTGCACTAGTGGTTCTGATAGTGGTTGTGCAACCATTAGCAGATCTAATGCAAGTACTACCTCTTATTTGCTTCTATAGTTACAACCAATATGAAACAAAATGAGATTTGTATGGAAAACCACCACACGATAAAACCTGAATGTAAACAAACCACTGCATGACAACTGCAATAGCCCAAGCCTTCTCTGTGAACTAGCCCATAATCAAGTATCAAATGCAGTCATAAGTTTGAGGTCTTCTGTCTACTACTATATCCCTTGGTAAAGCTATTAAAATTTAGAAAGGTTATCTCAATACGGTGGTTAGTGTAGATATTATTGAGTTTCATATATTTTTTCTTTGTACATTTCTAAGTTAAATCTGGATGTACAATTCTCTAAGCTCACAGACTCTTCAACTATTATTAAGTTCTGGTAGCTGGACACACGCTTTCTGAAACATCTGTCAGTACAAGATATGGAGCACTAAGCAGCACAAAGGCAAGATTTATTGAAGAATCTTTTGCTGTCTAATTAACTTAAATACTGAGATTGATTTGTTAACACAGAAGTCCTAGAACTTTGATATATAAAAAGAGACAGTAGTGAAAGAGAATCTGGACAACAGATTACACTGGAATTGCATTCAATTATGCTAAATGCAATGTGAAAATTATCCTCTTTTTCCCTGAAAGGATTGACTTGCTCTGACATGATCAGTTTTGTGACAACTGCCTTTGATATGATTGTTGTGTTTATGCCTCATGTCTTCTGTTCTAAGCCAGGGGTTACACTGTGCCATTTATACAACTGAACAAATATCCTTTGGAAAGCAAGTATGATTTACAGTAAGTGCAAAATGCAAAATCAAGTTTCTTGCAAGATTTTTGTTTTCATCTCATGAAATCCCCTACACTTACAAATAAAAAATAGTATATATTGAAAATGAACACAAATGTCAGTGTATTGTGCTATTTCAGAACACTGAAGAATCACAGTATGATTCATTTTATCAATAACACTGACTACCACTACTGTTTCTTTTTAACTGTTCATGTATTTATTGTTACCTACATCTGCATCTCACCCAACTCAATTCATAGAAATAAAACCAAAACCAAAAACAAAACAAAAACTAAACCAGAGTATTTACAGTTGCTGGGTTATTTTGCAAACACCAAAATTGTCATTTCCTGATAAAGGAATTCTCTGTTCTGGCACATTTCTTCAAATTCACCTTTATGATACCTGGCTCACAAAATTTTGTTAATATGCTTTCTCAAACTATTGCAGATGAAGTAGACAGACAAATTATAATTAAAATTATAATTTAGTTTCTCATGGTACGAAATTTTGGTTTGCGCAGATTGAGCATTGGCTGCTTAATTGTGGGCTTGTCTTCAAACAAGATAGCTTCACTTTCTGTGGTTGGAAATCTGTTCCGATAGATCTGAGGATATTCTTTCTGGAACTGAAAAACAAGATAACAAATTATTTATATTAAAGCATGCATATACACATATATACATGTGCACTAATAGAGTCTAACTACAGAAGACAATGAAAACATCAGTTTAATGAACTTTGATCATTGTTCTTAGTGGATTCATGAGTATCACCTTTGGCCATTGTCTGTGGATATGACATGATTATCCAGTTCTGAACTGCAATTATTTAAGTCTCAAAAAATTCTTGTTTAAAATCCCCTGTCCTCATAGCTCTCTGGTGCTCCCAACTATTCCTTCATCACTGTTCCTGAGGCCTTGTCCACTGACAAAATGCAAGTGCAAATGAGAACTGACAAACACTATGGATCCCAGACTGATTAGAGATGATTACATCAGTTGAACATTTTTTGAAAATGCATAGCCCCAGAGCTGTAACAGAAACCATTCCTTTACAGCAGCAAGTCCCAGCAGCCCACTAGCAACCCAAAAATATGATAGGGGGATAATGCACCCATGTTAGGCATGATTCACTGAACTAGGGCTAAGCAGTTCTTGTACGGCCTGGAATGCTGATGGAAATGTTTACCTTTTCCTCTGTCCACAAACCAAGTACTGGAAAAGGTCTCTACTGACAGGCACAATCAAAGGTCTATTCCAGAAAGTAGCTCAATATCTCATAACACATTTAAGTGTTAGTATTTTAAGATCCAACTAGGGATCAAAAAGGCCTACTCCTTCTTTTGAAAACATTAACAATACCAGCAAAGTCACACAGTCATATAAAAAGATGGAGTGCTCTTACATGGCCACTTCTCTTGGACTTTTTGAGCCTGTGGGATAAATTAGTCTCCCCACCTCACCCCTACCATGGATAGAATCGACTTAAACCCTACTGTGTATCCATCAGCCCAATAGGAAAAGGGCCCATCTCCCCTTCTCTTTTGCAGCAAATCTACTCCAACATGTTGGAATTGCATAGCCATGTTCAGGGATACATGTTATGGAACAGCCTGTGAAGACCTGTTAAAGTCCACTTGTGTGCTTCTGTACTGTACTCCTTGCTTCCAATGAATTTTCCAATGGGCCACATTAAATTGGAGTCATCATTCTTTTGGTTTGGCTCCTGAACTTCCATCTTCACTGGCCTCATGTCAGAACAATGACAAGATTTCTATGTAAAATAAACAAGCTACGCTTTGTAGCAATTTCTCAGAGGTGACAGAAACCCAGCTAGAAAAACTGGAGCCTAGAGTGGTTTACTAAGCATGTGTAAAAGCTGTCATATTCCCAGGGCCTCGTTTGGCAGCTGGTGAATGCTTATTCAAGCAGCTCCAAGTAGAAAGTTTCCCATGGCTGAGAAAAAGAGTTTTGCCAGCACTTGGAAGAGAAAGAATGGTTGGTCCTCTCTTCTATTCTATGGCTATTGGCTATGCAGAGGGGGTGGGGTGGGGGGTCTTGTACCTATCTCTCTGTTGTGTATAAAACTGCACGAAACATGTACATTTTGCATATTCATAGTTATGCACAGCTGCGTTTCAGTAAATAGTGCAGAGAAGACAGATAATATGACTGATAATAAGAAAATAAATAATAAGAAAAAAGGATACTCGGTTCCAACTGCGATGATAGCCTGCAAATTAAACCCCTTTTCAGCCCATTATGGCTGATGTTTTGCTAAACATTCTCATCCAGTATCTCCCATCAACTTAGAATGGATCTAACTACATTTCTGATTAAACTGTCTTGTATGACAAGAGATGGCTGTGCAACCCAGCCCTAAGTGGCTGACTATGGTGCTGTGGGGCCAGGGCAAATCAAAACATGACAGCTTACATCATCAGACTTTTAAAGTCTTACTGCAGAAAAATATTGGCTTCAGCCTTTACTATTCAGAACAAAATAACTTCAGTCTACTGAAACATTTGGCTGAATTTAAGAAGCATTTCAAAGCCCCACAAGTCTGCAGTACTGCAAAAGAACAGTAACAACAAGGTGGCCATTTAAAAGCTGTTTACAGCCAGGCTCCAGTCATAAGACTTGCTTAGTAAGTTCTGGGACAAGTACAGATCTGTGCAGTAGTCTGTTCAGAGAAATTACCAAAAGGCTTTCTGCAGAAGGAACAGAAATCCTCTATATTAGGCTCTGCCAAACTGGTTGTTCTTTACCACAAAGGCGATTACAATAAATTGTGAGTCTAATGACCTTGAATAAACCAAGTAATGAGGAAAACAACTGCTTATTGAGCATAGTGTGCATTTTTCCATAACTAAAGGTACTCATTTTAGCGTGCAATCCTGAGAAATACCCACTGGGCAGAGGGCTCCAATTTAACTGTCTTGCTGAGCACAGAGACAGGAGCTGAGAGACCTCTAGTCTTAGCTAGAGTCTTGAGTCTACAATCTCATAACTTTTTCACAGGCCCAATCCAATTTACACATTTCCTCTCTGGTTTGCAATACTAACCTTGTGAGAATTTTCTGTGGCAGGGAGGAGTGGGACAGGAGATCTAAGGCAGGAAATAGTGCTACCGTGGAGGATGAGATCTGCAGCATTTATGCTCCTCACCCCACAGCAACTTCATGGGAAGTTGGAAAAAAAAAAGACCAGTGGAAAAAAACCAGCCTATCAGCCTTTACCTGCTTCAGGACTACAACAATCCTGTACATTGATTTAGACATTCATCCTACTGAATTATGATTTATTTCCAAGTTAATGTGCATAGAATCAGACTGTGCTCGGGGAAGAAGAAAACTGACCAAGCTGTATCAGTCTTTGGACTGTACCCCACTCCACTCCCTGAAAAAAAAAGTCAACCAGCATATCCAGATTATAAAATATACTGCCAATAAGCCATATATTTTATGGCAAGGTACCAGCATGAATTTTTCCAGACCTGTAACAACAAGATAGCATTTCTTTCCATTATGGGGCTGCAATTCAGGCTGGCCTGAAAGCATCTTATGTGGAATCATCAGCTTAGCACAGGTACAAATCCACCACCAACAAGAAATGTTATGCCTCTGCTTTATTTCCCAGGGATAAGGTTACACTTTAGCTGTTGCAGTATAAGCTGTGCTACAGTATGAGCAGTATCACTGTAGCTAATGCGGCAACATCAAATGGACCTGAAGCAACCCTTAGTCACAAGTAATGCTCCCTGGTGTTCTCTATACCTCAAGCATGTATTTCCAGACACGTCATTCTCCAGCATGGATGCACCAAAAACAACTTTTAAAACATTCTGAGGAAGACTAAAAAAAACTTCCGCTTAGTTACGACATTTAAGAAATTTTTTTACTAAAATTATATTCCATTACCTGCTTAAGCTTTTTCTTCTTGTCTTTCAGAGATAATTTTCTGTCCTTAATAATGTTTTCCAAAAGCTCAGCAATTGCTGCCTGAGATGTATAAATCTTTTGTTCATCAAATTCCTGAGAAGTTATCCTCTTGCAGTAAGAGTAAGTTGGGAATATGGCACTCAGTTCTTCTTCAAGATATTCAATCTGGCAAAACAAACAGGGTAGAAAGTGGCTTCTAGCATTTTAATCAGTGCCAGTGCAGTACATTTTGTTAAAAGCAATGTATTTTGTGAACATCAAGAGCTCCGAGTTCAAATCTAAACTAGAAACATATTGAGTGGGCCTTTAATAAGCTGGTATACATATGTGGAGATAAAACTATCGACCTGCTTACAAGGGCTGACCAGACCTGCCACCCCACCTCCAAAGAGGGGCAACATCAAAGCTAACTATAGAATCTTTTTGACATAGGTGGTCCTAGCATAGTGATACTTAAGAGGCAATTTTATTCTGATATTGATATAAACATATGACCAACCATACACAGCTAATTCTAAATGTTTTTAATGGAAAGTGGCTTAGTGGACATTCCTACTTCATTCCTCATTGCAGAATGCCACTTTTCTTAAGCACCTGGGGAAGAAATCTAGGATTTGGGATCTCAGCCTCATTGGAGTTAACAATATATAGCACTTCTCTTGTGTGGGCTGTCAGAAGCAATTGCAGGAAATTTTAAGAAACAACAACGCAAACAGAGAAACTGTACTGTTCTATTACTTTTGCTGGGAGGGCACATGCCTTTGGCCTTGCCTGTCACTGAGCAGCAGGCATCCCATTAGGCTACCTGTCCTGTTTTCCTCCCAGCTGGTCATTATAAGAGCTGTCTACTTTAAGAACTGGTGTCTGAGACTGCCTCCCCACCCTTGCATCAGTCCTTTCTTGTTTGTCATAAATTTTAAATAAGCCTGAGGGCAGACTTTGTCATGCTACCAATTTCTGTAACCCTCTCCAAACCCTTTTTAAAATTTAAACGCAGGGTATATATAAATAAAGATGACCAACCGAAAAGTCCAAGTACTCCCATGATTTCTAGAATTTCCAAGATAAAAATAAATGTAGTATAATTATTTGCGATCCTATCAGTGTCACAAAAAGGACAACACTGGTTATATTTGATTTCAATACAATTCTCACCTGGGTAATGTCAGATGTCACCCCATGAATGATCTGTTTGCTCTAATGGGAGCTAGGTCAGATTGGGGTTCCTCTCTAAGGAAAGATTCCCTGTTGCTGCCAAAGAACACTGCTGTTCTACAAAAGAAAGGACTACACTGGGTACTGTATACTGTATTAGGATTAGGAACAGCTAGCTTTGTTATTTTGAGTCCAGGATGGCCAACTGGCCTGGGGAATGTTGGAGTGAGCTATATTGTGTGAGTCCCTTGACATTGCTGGTCTCCAATTCCCTATTCCCTTCCTCACCCTTCTTGTTGTGTGCATGTTGTAGTGTTTTAATATATTTATTAAAACACTATATTTTTTTACCCTGTATTTATTTTTTACCCTGTCTTTTAATAAAAGCAAGTTGCTTACCTGTAACTGATGTTCTTCGAGTGGCCATCTGTGCAGTCACACATATGGGTACTGCGCCTGCGCAGTGCCTGTGGCCGGAAGATTGATAGCTAACGGTTTTTGGCGGGAAGCTCCGCTCCCCTCCCCCCTGTGGCCTATAAAGAGTGGAGCGTCTGCCATTTTGTTCAGTCTTTGCAACCGAATGTACGATATCTTAATAATTTTAAATCTTTTTTTTTTTGTCAATACCGTAAAAAAAGGGGGATGTCAGTACCGAAGATGCCTTTCTCATCGACACCGAGCTGTCGATGCGTCCACTCACCGACACCGAGCGGGGCCGGCAGGTGGGTTGTGTGACTGTACAGATGGCCACTTGAAGAACATCAGTTACAGGTAAGCAACCTGCTTTTCTTCGTCGTGGCCTCTGTGCATCACTCATATGGGTAGATTAACAAGCTTACCATCAAGGAGGAGGGAAGGTGTCCTCAGTGAAGAACAGAGGAGAGTACAGCTCTACCGAAGGAGCAGTCCCGTCGAGCTCGAACATCGAGAGGGTAGTGCCTGGCGAAGGTGCAAGGGTTCGCCCAAGTAGCGGCTCGGCAGACGTCATCGATTGGTACCCCTGCTGCGAACGCAGACGAGGTTGCAACAGCTCTAATAGAATGGCCGCGGGGAACTGAAGGCAGTTCAAGCTTAGCTAACTGATAGCACAAGACAATAGTGTGGACTATCCACTTTAGATAGTCTTTGTGGAGTGACTGGATCGCCCTGATCCCTAGTAGAATATTTGATGAATAGCCTATTGGATCGTTGAATAGACTCCGTCCATGATCGGTAAAAGGCTAAGCAACGGCAAACATCAAGTGAGTGCAACGATCTTTCCAAAGGGGTCGACGGTGACGGGAAAAAAGCAGGCAGCACAATGTCTTGTCCTGTATGGAAAGGTGTAGACACTTTGGGTAAAAAAGACGGATTAAGGCATAAAACGACCTTCTCTCTGTGAAAGTTTAGATAAGGAGGGTCTATTCGAAGAGCGCAAAGTTCACTGGCCCCTCCGGGCTGAAGTAACAGCTACAAGAAACGCCGTCTTCCAAGAAACCAATTGCAGATCCACCGTCGCTAAAGGTTCAAAGGGGGCCTTCATAAGGGCCTGCAGAACTACAGAAAGGCTCCATGTGGGCATAACCGGTCTAATTGATGGGTTAAGATTATATAGTCCCCTCAAGAATCTCTTGAGGATAGGATGAGAAAACAGAGGTGATCCGTCGACTAATCCACGGTGGTAGGCTATCACGGCTGTATAAACTTGAATGGACGACGGCTTCAATCCGGAATGGTGCAATTCCAGAAGGAACTGAAGAATTTGTTCAATAGATGAGAGGAATGGAGAGAATGAACGCGACTCAGCAAAGGTGGAAAAACGTTTCCATTTAGCCTTATATGACTTCCTTGTGGACGGCTTTAAGGCAGAGTCGATGATATGCTGAATATCAGGGTGCAAAAACGTCAGATTCGAATTCGACGGGTCTTGTCTCGAACCGGATGGTGCAGAGAGATCAGAGAAAGGGGAAGCACCCGAGTAATTGGATTCGACAATTGGATCCGAGGTGATCGAAGTCATCGTCGGTACCGATAGATTAACAGAAGCTGTTGGATTCGTAACTCTCGAAACCGTCATCAGTATCGATGGAACATCAATCATCGAATTCGCTACGCTGTTAGGTTCAATGAGAGCAAGTCCAGGTGGTGAAGTGTGCCGCCTGCCTGCATTATAAGATATGGGAGCGATGGAAGATGAAGAAATTCCCCGCGAGAGATGTCGAGTAGTTTCGCAAACCACGCTTGATGTGGCCACCAAGGGGCAACTAGTATCCCCGATGCCCGGTCGTGCACGATCTTTGCTATGACCTTCATCAGAAGAGGGATCGGAGGGAAGGCATAGAAATGCATGTTGTTCCAAGGGATCATGAATGCGTCCCCTAGGGACGCGTGTCCGATTCCCACTCTCGAGCAGTAAGCCTCGCACACCCTGTTCCGTTGGGTAGCGAATAAGTCCACATCGGGGAACATCCAGCGCCTGAAAAGGTGGTTGCGCATACGAGGGTCCAGTTTCCACTTGTGAGAGGTGAACATGTGCCTGCTGAGAAGGTCCGCGTGCACGTTGTCTATGCCAGCCACATGAACAGCCATCAGCGCGATGTGTCTCTGAATGCACCAGTCCCAAATTTCCATCGAGAGTCTGGCTAGAGTTGGTGACTTTGTCCCTCCTTGTTTGTTCAGATAAAAAACAGTCGCTATATTGTCCAAGGTTATCTGAACGATCTGATGATAAAGGAGGTCCTCGAAAGAACGGAGGGCCTTGAAGACTGCCAGTAGCTCCAGGAAGTTGATATGATTCGTGGATTCTAGACGATTCCACGTACCCTGGGTAGATAGGCCAGAGCATATCGCTCCCCATCCTAGGAGAGACGCATCGGTGCTGAGGGTTATCGTAGGAGATCACACCCTGAAGGGGACTCCTAGCATAAGATTGGTTGGTTTCAGCCACCAGTGCAGAGAGTGGAGCACGGAAGATGGGATCCGAATCAGTTTGGACTGTGGCTCTCTTTGAGGGTGATACATCCTGTTGAAAAATAGTTGTAGAGGGCGAAGCCAAAGTCTGGCATGTGGAACCACGGCAATTGAGGACACCATATGTCCCAGGACCCTCTGGATAGACCTCGCCGTGACCGTTTCCTCTCGTCGGATTCGATGGATAAGGTGAGCAAGAGTCTGTTGTCTGTCTTGCGGGAGGAAAGCTTTCTCCAACGTCGAATCCAAGCGGGCTCCGATGAAGGTGAGCGTCTGTGTCGGGAGAAGAGAAGATTTCTCTGTATTAATATGTAAGCCTAGGTCATCTAGTAAGGCACAGGTCTTATGGATGGCCGCCAAAAGTCCTTCTCTGGACTGTGAGACCAACAGCCAGTCATCGAGGTACGGATAAATTTGTATGCCCTGAAGGCGTAGGAAGGCACAGACAGGAGCCATGCGCTTGGTAAAAACTCTTGGAGCCATAGCCAGTCCAAAAGGTAAAACTGTGAACTCATAAAGTTGGCTTGCAATCGCAAAACGAAGGAAACGCCTGTAATTTGGGTGAATTGAAATGTGGAAGTAGGTGTCCTTCAAGTCCAGTGAGGTGAACCAATCCTCTCTCCTTAACAACGGCAAAATGTTTTGAAGGGTAGTCATACGAAACTTTCTCGGTACAATAAACGTATTTAAGTTTCCTAGATCCAAAATCGGACATAGACCACCATCCTGCTTAGGGACCGTGAAGTCCGTCAGATGGCAATACTTGACGAATCGCTCCTTTATGGAGAAGTTGACGTATTTCGTCGAGGAGTACCGGTGAGCATACAGTAGATCGGATCAGACTCGATGGAGGAACGATGTCGAATTCTATTCGATAGCCGTGTTGAACAATGGATAATACCCACCGGTCAGATGTGATGGACTCCCAAATGGGGAGTTGGCTTCGGAGCCGATCCCCAAATGAGAGGGGGGTGGGTATTGAAGGAGTGTGAGGAATGGTTCGCCAGTCCCATCAGCGTTGCCTCCGATCGTCAAAACGACGGCGGCCTTGCTGAAAACGCTGTTCGGGCTGAGGACGGCGGTGCTGCTGTTGTTGTTGCTGGCGGTGTTGAGGCTGCTGTCTCGGTTGGTAGGATTGCTTGTAGGATGGACGATTCCAGGACCACTTACGTCTAGTGTGAGACTGGATCTCCATCCTGCGTGCCGTCATCCTCGATTCATGGAGCTTCTTGAGCTTATGGTTGGTTCGAGAATGGAAAAGCCCGGATCCATCGAAAGGCATTTCCTCTATCCGCCGCTTGGTTTCCTCCGGGAAATTGCAATTCCGGAGCCATGCATGCCTCTGAAGGGAAACGGCACCGACCAAGGCCCGGGAGTCATTATCCATGTGGTGCCTTGCCGTGGATAACTGCTGCACTGCAACCTGCATGGCTTCCTTGATCAGGACCTTCGCGAGATCACCCTGGTGGTCTGAGAGGGTGGAGGCGATGTTGTGGAGGTGCTGCATAATAAAATATTGATATCTCGCCAACGTTGCCTCATAATTTGATATGCAAAGTCCCAAGCCCGAAGCAGCATAGACTCGCCTGGCCAGGGAGTCTATTTTTCGGCCCTCTTTATCTCTCGGTGCCATATGTCCTCTCGCCTCTCTGCCCTGTGAGGATTCGACGACCGCAGAGTTCAGTTTCGGGTGTTTGAGGAGGAAGGAAATATCCTCTTCCCGAACCCTGTACATCGACTCATACCTCCTGGACGTCGGCTGAGGATGTGATGGCAGGTCCCAGGGCTGCGTCATCGCCTGCCGCAAGGTGGTTATGGGTGGCAGGATGATAGATGTCAATTGCTCCCCGTGGATGACGTCGTAAAACTTGTCCGTCGATGGTCCCGGGTGCTGGGCAGTGTCGATGTCCAGGGACTGGACAAGTCTTGACATCAGCTCCGCGAAGGAGACGTGGGACTTGTCGGGTGACGCAGGACCCTGGGATGTCACAGCGACGTCCGGGGAGGTTGAGTCGACCTCCGAGTCAGCCGAATCGGCACCGTAGTAGGGTGGGGCTGAAGATGACGACTCTGCCGGCGAGAAGGAGCGGCTGCTTCCACTTTGTGGGGATCGAGGTAGCATCCGCCTCGAATCCACTGATCGCGGTTGGTCGCGGGGTGGAGATGATTGTGCCCTGGGAGCAGGGTAGTACCCTACAGAGAGCGGATCACCCAAGTATGGTAGTAAGGGCGACGCCAACTCTCAGGGCATTGCTCTACCGAGCGGCTCCTCCGGCTCCCTGCTGGGGACAGGCCAACGTCCGTGTCCATCGTCATCGCGGGCATGGGTGTCGGTGACCTCCCCCTAGGAGGGGAGTCTTGGATTTCCCCATCGGAAATTGAACCCCGTAAAGTTGGAAGGGGTGCAGGTAGGAGGTCAACCAAACGGCGGGGAGACCCTTGAGGGGTAACCCGCATAGCCTCCTGGAGGATCGGTTCAGGCGGGGTCGGTATCGTAACCGCCACTGGTGCCGAGGGTCCCATCGGTTCCGAGTTCTGATTTCGGGGACGGTCCGGACGGTCCAAAGTCTTAGACTTTTTGGGAGGCTTGGAGACCTTCTCCTTTCTGGCCTTCTTATGGCCTGCCGACTTCTCTTCGGCGTGCTTCTGCTTTTCATGCTTCTTTTTAGGTGAAGCAGAGGGGGCCACCGAAGCAGACGCACCTTTGTCCGAATGCTGTGAGGGTGGGGCCACAGAAGCGGGGCCAGGTTTTGGGACAGCAACGAATGGGTCTGACTGCATCAGAGCCCGATCCCAAAGGAGCCTCCGAAGCTGGTTTTTGCGGTTCTTCCTGGCCTGCTTGGAGAAGGCCAGGCAATGTGTGCATTTATCAGTCCTATGCCCCTCTCCCAGGCAGAGGAGGCATAGGTCATGCGGGTCAGTTGGTGCCATTTTTGACCCGCAATCCGTGCATTTGCGGAAAGCTGCTCGCTGCACCATTGCAGAAGAAGAGGAAGAAAAGAGAGATAGTGAAGAGGGTAAGTATATATTTTTGTTTTTTTTTTTTTGATAGATCAAAAGAAGAAATAACGAGAGAAAACTACACAGAATAATAAGCTGGGACAAGGAGAGGAACAAACTAGGATAATGGACAATTCGAGAATGAGGTAATAGTCGAAGCGAAAGTCGAAAGCAGCACAAGGCACAGCAAACGGCAGTCGCAAAGACTGAACAAAATGGCGGACGCTCCGCTCTTTATAGGCCACGGGGGAGGGGAGGGGAGCGGAGCTTCCCGCCAAAAACCGTTAGCTATCAATCTTCCGGCCACAGGCACTGCGTAGGCGCAGTACCCATATGTGTGATGCACAGAGGCCACAACGAAGAACTATGTTTTTCCCCAACTCTGACAGAAAATGTAATCTCAGGCAATATTAAGAAAGGTCTGATGCTTGGCTATTAAAAGAAAGACAATCTCAGCCAAAGTACATTCTCATACACAAAGAATTGTCCTGACCTGTAGAACTAGTGAGCTTTCATCATCTGTTCATCTACTCCCTGAAAGATTTAGTTTGTTTTTTGCATTCATCAAACATACAGTCAGTGTAGTATCATCTATCTAAGGCTAGGTGATTTTATATTCAATTTGGTGAGATAGTTTGGGGCATGCATAACTTTGTATTTATGCTAAACAGCATCCCACCTGTAGCACTGAAAACTTGTTTTGAAGAAATGCAGTTACAGCATGCACATGCAAATCTATATGTGTACAGGAACACAGAAAGCTGCTTCGTATCGAGCACGTCCCTTGGACCATCTAGCCTAGTACTGCCAATACTAACAGCAGATCTTCAGGGTTTCAGGCTGGGGTTCTTCCAACCTTACCTGGAGATGCTGGGGAGTGAAACTGGGACTTTCTACATGCAAAGCAGGTGCCCTATCTGTCAGCCACAGCCCTCACATACTTACATACATACATATGTCTTTCTTTGGGTCATTGCTCTTACCTCTATATAGGAAAAGAAATAGTGCAGGTTACAGAGTAAGGATAGAACACTGATGCAAATTATCTTGTTTAGGAATAGCAGCATAAATTGTAACTTAGGAAAGGATATTCCCAGACTAACATTGACCACCAAAAAAAAAAAAAAAAAAAGCAGGAAATTCAAGAGTCACGTCTCTGGATCATAGGAGTTTTTGTTTGAAGAGTAATAAAACATACTTCAGCCCCTTTCCTCACCTTAGTACTTCTTAACGTTTCTATGTGGTCTTGCACAGCGGCCAGTAAATATGTTGGGACCTCTAGAATTTCTTGATGATGGTCCATTAGAAAGGAAACTAATCTTTTGACAAACAACTCATCAAGGTCTACTTCTTCCTCACAGCACAAAATACATCGTGAAAATGTCTGTATCATCTGGAAGCATTTAAACAAGCTGTTATTAAACAAAGAGATCTGTACCAAATATTAAATTCTTTACGAAGTCATATGCCCATAACCTTGCCTAGAGGCCTAGAGTGAGCTGGTGCCTAGCATAAGAACCAAGTATACTGCTAGAAAAGGGAAGCCTACCTCCCCATAAAGAGATAGTTCACATATTATGGAATTCAACAGGATCAGATACAGTGATTGATTTAGATGAATATTATACCAGTTAAACCACTTAGCCTGAAACTCAGAGGATGACTTTGAGCCAGTTATTCACTCAGCCCAAGGGTTGTTGTGAGGATGAAATGGAGCTGCCTTGGTTTCCTCACAAGAGAAAAAAAGTTTGAATATCAATACAATGCAATAGGAATTTTAAAAATACTGCCTGTGTTTCCTGATTTTGGGTTTCCCAGAAATGTCTGGTTGGTCACTATTGGAAATGAAGACCCTGGACTAGATAGGTCTTTGAAGCAGGACTCTTCTGTTCTTAAACAAAGCAAGTTGCTGTAAAAGAGATCAAATTCTCCATCGGCTTGTCTAGAGGAGGCTATTTATTTTTTTCTGGTTACTAGGTTTGGTGGTTTCTTTCTGATGACAGCAGAAGGGAAGATCAAGAACTGCATTATAATATACAATGGAGACTTTAAGCTCATTTAAACACAAACAGATACAACTGAATTACATAAGGACATTCACAGTAGGAATCTTACCAAAGATTTGGTTCCCATTTCATCATGAAGGCGTGGCATATCTACATTTTCACTCATTCGAGAGATCATGCGCATTAAGAGCTGAAGTTTTCTGCGATTTGGTGGTGGAATCAACAGGCAGCAGATCTGCAGTGCTTCGACAGCAACTCTTTCTGAATGAGGCTGTAACAGATCTATAAAGAATCGGAAAGAGAAGGAGCACGAGGGAGAGATGTTACCCTCTGTAACTTCTGCTTAAGTTAATAGCTTCATTTTGTTGCAGCAATGTAGGTGAAGACCAACTGAAGCATGCTGTAAACTCTATGTGAATCATCTAGCTGGTGTTAGGGATGCTAAACTAGTGATTTGAAGTCATTATCCAATTTCTCCCTTCTCTAGATGCTGTTTAGATGAAAAAAATCTAAGTTATTGCACCAATTATAAATATGGTAATTATAGAAATAGTGCAGCATTGACAAGAGAAAACATACTTTGCATTAGCATGCACTACAGGAGATACTGATGCTTGCATTACAAAATATTAGTATAAAAGCTACTTAACCATAGGCTCTCTTTTGACAAATCTTGTTGAACATGGTTATAGTCATTTAAAATCCTGGTATTGGCAAAAAAGCAGAAAAGCAAACTAGTTAGTTAAAAACACACACACAAAACCAGAAAAAAAGCATGCTCTGGAAAGCAATCTTACGTGATGTGCCAGTCAAAAGAAAGGAGCTGGGAGAAAATGTGTTTTCTGAAAGTTGTGTTGCACTTCTGCAGAGTCTTTTGTTGATGGCCGTATCACAGCCCCCAACTTTACTTCCTGTATTAGCTACCACTCTGGTAATATTTTGGGAGTTTTGGTGAAGAGGGTCTACCGGTTGTGGTCTCACTGTGATCTCTGCAACTGGAGCATGTATGCCACACCAACTGGAATTGCTATTTCCATGTAAACTGTGAGACCTGCAAAGGTGGTTTGATTCGAAGTTGGTAATAAATAGCTCTTGGCCAGGAATACTTGATGCAGAAACTCTCTTGGTGTCACAGGTTTGTTTTTGACGGATGTTATCTGACCAAAGATCCAGCGAAGAGTTTGCCTTAGACCATAACAGTTGATTTTCATTACTTGTGAATGGTATTGTGTGAATGTCAGCTTGAGAAAGCGCATTAAATCCATCTTTAATATACTTGTTTGAGGTGGTCTCTACAATTCCCTCCAAAGAGTGGCATCTTGTCTTAAGTTTGAGAGGCAGAGTTTGTTCATTTTTCAATCTTGGAAGATTCTGACAACTGCCACTTGCCGGTTGGTGAATAGTGGCACATTTACAAGCCACGTTATAGTGTTGCAACTTTATACCACATTCTTTTCCAGCTGTATGCATTTTCAAACCTGTTTCAGAAGTCTCAGGTCCAACTTTTTTGTCAGTCTCACGATGGAGTAAACTTAGCAGAAGACATTCAGTTGATCTAAAAGAGTTTAAGTGTGGAATTTTTGAAAGCTCCAAATCACTCCAGGTACCAGATTTTCCACTGGATCTATATGGAATTGTGATGTAGCCACACAAAACTATCAGAAAATGAAATACAAGTTCAGATGCAGACAGTGTAATAGGATAAAATACATCAAGCAACATAATCAGAAAAGTCAAGACAGAGATTGAAGTTTAATGTTAGTGAAGCTGAAATAACAGTTATTCAGTCAGAGAGTATTCAAAAACATACATGCAACACTAAGCCCATATATGCAAGACAAGGTACACATAGCATATCATTCTAAGTTCAGCCTTCAATACAAATAGTAGGATTATTTTATGATACTGCATACATAACCATCATCCACATTGGCAGAGGATTACTTATTCTAAAAAGCCAGCCAAATTTTGCTCTGAAAGCTAAAAGACACAGAGTGAAAATTAAGAAACAGGGTGAACATTGTGATATCCTAACCTAACTATATACATACCTAAGATGTTTATAAATAATTCATAGAACTGAAAAGTTAGCAACGGTTCGGGGAGACTAAGAAAATAGTCTGCAACTGTTTTGAATACATCTCGTTCAAAACCCATGTATGTTGGCTGGCTCATGTCATTACTTCTAGGCCCTAAAGTGCAAAAGGAAAGAAATTTCAGTAATACTGCCTTTAATGACACCTTGAAAATTATAACAGTAACAAAAAACAGTAAGAATGTTCTTTGGTAAAAATCTTACATTATTATGTGCATTTAGTATTGTATCAGTGAAATTGTCCTTCTGAATGTGTAGCAAAAATAAAAACTAGCTGCAATGTTTTATTGTAGCTGGACACAACTGGATATAGATGGCTTTGACAAGATCTACCAAGACAATTCTTTAAATTGTGCAGCTTTGCATTGTAATTTATCTTATAGCACTATACTACAATTACTACCATTATTACTGTTTCATTTATTGGCCTTTCTGTCTCTGTTTACTTCATACCCATCTTCTAAAAACAGATTATAGGCTATGAAGAGAGGTACCGAACATGTGCCATTAAGGTAACATTCTATTCAACTTTTAAAAAATATTTTCAGAACGCCTGGCATTTCAAACAGTATTTGCCTTAACTTACAGTTTGCTAAACACTTCATAGCCGACAGCACCCAGTGAGGGAGATCTTCTGCAGGAAAGGAGGAAAAGATTTACCAGTTCTCATTATCATTCCCAAGAACTGATTTCATATACTCCTTTCTATATGTATTCCATCCTTCATCCAAACAGTTCAACAACATATAAGGAAGAAAGCAAGATAAGATCTCATTTTAAAGCTCACAATAACCATGAGACCTAGCTGAAGTTGGGAGATAGGGGAAAAGTTATTAACTCAGCCAAAGGTTACTTTCTCAATGAGCTTCATACCTGAATGGGTATTTGCAGATAGGTTTCCTGGCCAATGCACTAAACTTGCTTGTTTTTAACTGATAAGCAGCTTAAAAATATGTAGATTGAGAAATGGAAAAAGTTCTAGACCACAATTTGGTCTGATTTTTCCTTTTAAAGTACTTTAAAATCCATTTACACAAGAAACAATAAAAAAGGAAAGAGGATATCAGAAAAGAAGGTGCCAAGGCACAAGTATAGCATATGACATCAACATTTAAACACATTCATAAAAAAGCGAAAATTTCATTGGCTATAATCCCATCAAAACAATTCAATTTTCAGTTCAACAAAATTTGTACAGTCTATCGCTTTAAGTTTAAAATAACAATTATTAATAATTCTATTATTCCCAGGATGCTCTCCGTTGGGGAGCTTATAGTGCTTCTAACCAAAATACATTGCAGAGACACTGTAAGTCTTTTCTGCCTTAACAGGTCTTTTCTTATTTGCTTTTTGGTAAAAAGGCAGAAGAAACTTATGAGAAAGCGAGAGAAGGCTGCAAATGGAAGGTAACTGTCTGGAACCCACCCATGAAAATGTGCATAGCAGTTGTACAATAAAGTGTTGCCTGGAAGCACCATTAAAGATGAGAAAGTTATTCTGGTCAAATTTTCCAAAATCCCCCCATGTATGTTAAAAATAATGGTATGCTACTTGCCTGATTTATCATGTAGAAGTACAACACCACGTTTACTCGTATTAGTCATGTTGTACATTATATACCGAGGTTCTACTAGCGCTGGGTGCAAAATCTCTTCTAACGATGGTATACCTAAAATAGTTTGCAAACTGGGAGGACAAAGGACCAGACAGTTCCAGAAATTAGCAGACCACTCTTGGAATGGACTCTTACAATAGGACTGTAAAATGATTCAACATATCCTGGTGTCTAAGCAACAATGATATGATAGAAACAATCTTTTCACAATGTTGTTCATGCCAGTGCCTGTGGGCCCATGTCATATTTCATGTAGAATTCAACACAGGGTGACAACAACAGGTAAATAATAAAAAGTCAACATTTTTAAACACAGAAAGAAACAAGCAGAGGACGGGTGGTCATGTGAATCCTCTTGGCATTTAACATAACACCTCTTCAGGAATAAGTGACTCTGTGCCCTTCAGATATTTTGGACTACAGCTCTCATATGACCCACTCAGCATGGCCAGGGCATGGATATTAAGAGACCTAGTCACAATTGTTTGGAAGGTACCATATGGCCTATTCAAGGCCAAAATGCATTACCATATATAACATGTAACATCATATTGAAGTTATAAGGGAAGACATATTTGTTATAGCTTATGGCAAAAGAGTGAAAAACACCAGAGAGCCGGTTACCTTCCATGTTCAAGAGCAGTTTCATGAAACATTACAGACACACAAAAGTTCTTCACCAGATAAAATAGCTGAATATATTCACCTATCCTCTTCTAAGTATATTCTGATTTCATAGCTCAAGCTATTAAAATGCATTTCATTTTTTCCAGGTTTTGTAGGTTATGATTGTTAGAAATGCAACTATTTTTACCATTTTGCTGTACAAGCATGCAATTTTCAGTTATGAAATGTTCTATCAATAAGGTTATTATTGAAAGAACCCTTTGAAAATCTGGGCTGATCACTGGGATGCCAACAAAAGAAGCAAAAAATTCTGTCTTTTAGTGCAATGAGAGATTATGGAAGGAGGAAAACGGTGCATCACTCACTGTATCAAAACAATGTTTCTCCAGATTTCCTCTATGTCTGCTTGAGTTATTTGCCTGCTGTGTTCCAACCTTACCTTCTCTTCCAGCGCTGCACTTTTTATATTTTCTATGTTCTCCTATTAAGGGGCAAAAACAAATGTGTTATAAATGTGCTCAAGATAAGGGAAAGGGTCGTTTAGGTGGTCAAATATATTAATCTTCTCCTTGTTTTGAGGAGCTTGGAGACTAGCAGAGGACTGTTAGTGCTAATTACCACACTCCTTCATTGAGGTGGTCATTCCAACATTCATCCTTCAGTAAAGCAATAAGTTTATCAAAAGTTCACAATCTGCCATTACTTTCTCTAAGTAAACAGGTTACATAAAATCAGGGCTTTTTTTTGTCATAGAACGCACTGGAACGGCGTTCTGGCACCTTTTTTTGATGGATTTTTCCATGTGATTGTGAATCGCCCTGTCGGGCATAGCAGGTCGGCAGCAAAAAGCATTAAAATAGTGCCTGTGGGTTGCGTGTGTGTCCGCGCTGTTTGTGAGGGCACTGCTCGGGTCAGGATGCTGCTCAGCTTGGGATCGGTCATGTGGTCGCACACTGAGTGCTTACTGCCAGCGGCAACCATTATGTTTATGTGTGTGTAGAGTGACTGGCTACATGTAAAAGGTAAATAAGTTCTTTATTTCAAAAAAAGTTGGTGAATTGAAAATCTTTTTTAGTGTAAAAGTGTGACCCCAAGAGGTGAGTTCCGGCACCTTTTTTTTTTTAATACAAAAAAAGCACTGCATAAAATAAACAGCAACCCTATGGGACCATCCTCAGAAGTTGCTCCCAATGCATGATAAGCAAGTAACAGACTGATCAGGAAGATCTGTGGTCTGAGGCAAGGAAACCCTCTTGGAGGAAGCATCTCTAGATCCAATTTTAAAACAATCACTCCTGGACTAAGTCAAGAGGCTTTTAAAATGAGAAAACAAGGAAACAACATATTGTAGGGTAAAGCTTTTACGGCCAGTAATTAAGCTTTCAGGTGCATTTCAATCTTTTACACTGTGGAAAAACTACAAAAGCTGAAATAGCATAAACCAATGAGCTGAAGAGAAGGGGACATGGTGATGTAGTGATTGTAGTCCAACCCTGCAGGGTTGGACTACGATCACAGGAGAGCCTGCGATTCTCCATGCTTGCCCTAAGAACACGACACTGCATCCACATTCAAAGACACATACCTGCTAAATTTTGATTTCTCTGAAAATTTCATTGAACAGACCTCAGTGTCCTTTTTCTTTAGGATATCTTAATTTAAACGGGCAGATGTGAAGAATGCAAATAGCCTCTTCATCCTAATTTTGGATTTAGTTGGTCTGCTAACACCTCTGAGCAGAAACCCAGAAACAAATACCCACAGATTTACTGGTTAACAGAGGGCAACCATGCATTGCAAAGGGATATAGAAACAGAAACAGAACAAGTCAGAAGGGGTTTCCCGGGTCATCTAGTCTGACCCCAGGCTCCAGCCAGCTCCGCTCATGACATGACAGGCACACATGGTACAGAGTAAACCTGTCTGCTTAATATTGACTAAGTGTAACATGGGCTGATTCACAGGATCATAGAATAGTAGAGTTGGAAGTGGCGAGGAACAGCATCAGGTCCAACTTCTTCCTTTTGTAGGTCACCAATTTGCACCATCCTACTCAGATGGCTGCTCAGTTTCTTTCTGAATGTCTTTAGTGTGGAAGAGTCTACAACCTCTTCAGGCAACTGGTTGCACTGTTGCATTACTCTGACAGAGAGAAAACTTTTCCTGATATCTAGCCTACTCTCTGGTATTGGTAAGAAGAGATCTTAATCTTCCTCTTTGTGATGGTCTTTGAAGGATTCATAGAGTGGTATCATGTCCCACCTCAAGTCTTTTCAAGGCTGAACATGTCCAGTTCTCTTGGTTTCTCCTCACAGGGCAGTGTTTCCAAACCCTAGATCATTTTTGTTGCCCTTTCTGCATTTTTCTTGAAGAGATGAGCAGTGAGGAGTATAGGGGAATTACTATTTCTTGTAATTTGGAAGTAAAACTTCTGTTAATGCATACAAATATAGCATTTGCCCTTTTGCAACTACATTGCATTGTTGGCTCATATTTAGCCTGTTGTCTACAATAATTCCAAGGTCTTGTCTTCAGTTCTTTTGAGCCTCGTACTCCCCATCTTGTATCGATGCAATTGGTTTCTTTTTCCCAGGAGGAGGGCTTGGCATTTGTCCCTATTTGAATCTCATTCTGTTGCTTTCAACCCAGTGTTCAAGTTTATCAAGATTGGTCTGGATCCTCATTCTTTCTTCTAGGGTGTTTGCTATTCCACCCAGCTTTGCATCATCTCCAGAACTGAGTATTGTTCCTTGTACTACCTCATTTAAATCATTAATAAAACATTGAAAAGCACTGGGCCTAGGACTGAACCCTGCAGCATGCCACTAGTTACCTTGCTCTAGTTTGAGAAGGTGTCATTGATGAGCACTCTTTGTGCCCAATTTAGCAGCCAAATTTGGGTCTGCCAAACAGTTTTTCTATCTAGTCCACTTTTTGCTCATTTGGTTATCAGAATGTTGTGGAGCACTATGTTGAAAGCTTTGCTAAAGTTGAGTTCCCTCTGTTGAGTGTTCCCTCTGTCCATTTGGAAGGTTACCCAGTCAAAAATGGATTAAATTAATGTTGATTAAGAATAATCTATTACCTGACATTCCCGAAATGCATATTTTTGGGGTGTTCTTCTGCTGTAGTGTGGTAATTTAAATATACTTTCTGTCTGCTTAGTTGTATTATCCGTGTTCTCACTCAATAGATGTTGACGTGGCAGAATTCTAACAGGGGAAGTTGAGGGAAATCTATAATTTCACACATAAAAGCTCAATGTTAAAATGTATCAGTTTAAGCCAACTTTATCTTCCTGGATTGTCCTGAACAGAGGTTTGTCTATCAAGGTAAAACAAAAATTAAGACAGTGTAACAGTCAGTCCTTTTAGATATTAAAACATGTCAGGTAGGAAGAATGATCTGGGGTTCTAAACAGGCTTGTATAAATATACTGTCCCTGGTATTTTGTTACAAGCACACTGAGCACTATGACTTGGCTCACACTATCAAAATAAGCCATGATGGCTTGTTTTAATCTCTGGCACATGCTGGGCACAATTTCCCTAATTGCCCTCTGGATAGAGCTTGTCATGTTGCCTGAATCCAGGCAGCATGCCTAACCCTTCAATCATCCATGGGCTGTTGTAGAATTATGTGAAGGTTGTTTTCCCCTCACACAAGGCATGCTGCTTGGCTTTGGGTGACAGAAAAAGCTGGTCTCAGGCAGGAAATCAGAGAAATTGCATGGGCTAGGTGAGCAAGCCAGTGAGCGGATTCCCATAACATATTAGTTCCCCCAGGGAATTTTACCCAGAAACCGAGGCGGGGGAGTTATGCTTCCCCTCCCCCTCTTAGTCCTTCTGCAGTATCCCAGGGGCTACTGTAGGTCTACTAAGTACTGGGGGAACAGACTGGCAGCAGTTGAAAGTTGAGTCTTTTGGATGCTGTCATTTACTTCTGTAACTCTTAACATTGCCAGGAGATCTGGGGAATGAACCTGGAATGCAGGGGGTGGGGGGAAGGGAAAAGAGAAGGGGTGACTTGTGCTGGACTCAAAAGCACACTGCAGCTGGGCAGCATGGAAGCAGCTCCTGTGCCTTCCCATGTTTCAGCTGTGTGTGCTCCCTGGGAAGATGCCCAGCTGAACATGCCAGCCTGGATTGCAGCCTCTTACCCAGGGACAACATGTCCCATGTGGAAGGTGGTGCAAGTCAGGCACTGATGCCACCTGCTCCACGTGCTTCCTCCTTGGAAAGCAGGAGGCATGTGGGGCAGGCAATAGGAAGGAATGGCTCCCACTCTGTTTCCCCCTTACCGCACTGCAGAAAAGGGAGAGCTGGTGCCAAGCTGCTCTGCCTACTGCCTTCTCAAGGAGGGCAAGCAGAGTGGCTCATTCCCAACTGGCACTACCATAATGGTGGCAGGTGGTAGTGCAGTCAAACCCAGTCATTGGCTTCTTTTGATCATGGAAGCCAGCACTACATCATACAACAAGATTTTGATTAAATACTGCAGCTAATATTCAATTTAAAGGTGGAAATTATGAATAAATTCACACTACACAATTTACAGAACAGGAAAATCGGTTGAATGTTTGCATTTCATCAATTTACCCCATATGTTGCCAATATGATGGCACATTACCTGTACAAATGATGGTTGTCATCCAGGTTTTCTGAGCCCCATCTTCCCTTAATATCTTCAATTACATGATTTTTGAGAAATTTCCTTAATAGCTGAATAGTTTGTTTCCTAGTAACTTCTGGACCAAAATTACTGTTATTCCTGAGTAATTGATGAAGCCAGTCAATTGCTTCTGCTGCAGTAAAACAATTCTGATATTTTTTGAAGTGTTGTCTGTGTTTCCGTCTTGGCATTTCAGCCCGAAAATATTTAGTAACCTCATTCCACTGCAAGGCAGAAGTGAAATGGAAATTTTAAAAACACAACAACGAGATCCTCAGTATAGTCTGTTATTTGAAGAAACATTCGAGAAATTCTTGTGCTATAAAACCAGTCAAAATGATGCTAGAAATTCACCTTTTAACAACTTTTGCCTGCAATGTGACAGTTCAGTTAACAGGCTAATTTGCAATACTGTATGTTTTGTAAAATGGGCACTGTAGGTGTGCAAAGAAGTACTCGTGTGATCACTTCAAAGTCCCAGTTTTTCAATACAGGCAAACATTTTGTCATACCATCTCTAATCAACACTATGATGATTTCAAAACAAATTAAGAATACTAACTTCACAATTGATGGACTTTAGAAGAGTCTCAACAATTGTTTAATCCTATCTGCATCCCCGCCTGACGGATTTAAATTCCTGGATGGAACAGCGAAGCCGACCCCAGTGTCTGCCAACCCAAACTCTTCCTTCCGCGGCTCTCTGCCGAAGGTCTTTGCCAGGGAATCTGTTCCACTCCACCAGCATCTCCCACCCCGGGGCGAAGTTCCTTCCTCCGCCCTCCTTACCAACTTGGTGGCGCGGTAGGGGCCCGGAGTCACCTCGCGAATCTCCATAGCGCACCCATGCAGCGGGAGAGACCTCCGCCTGAAGGACACCAGCCACGATCACAGCAACCGCCGGTTTGACGGTTTGAACTGCGCCTCGGAGCATCTGATTGGCCGAGTCCAGGAGCACGGGACACGCACAGTCGCTCCCTGGCCGGCGCGCGCGCACGGGCGCGTCGAACGGAAGGAGCGCTCCGGTGCTGCAAATGAGCCGGGAGCTGCGTCTTCTGTGCGTGCGCACGAGTGTGTGAGACCTTGTTTGCTCGTCGTCGTCTTTGCCAGAAGTAGAACGGATGGCAATCTCCGGAGTCTCTCTGCTGAGTGAACGCACAGGGGCCAGAGAAGAGACAAGGAAGGGGTTGTCTTAAGACTCTTTCAGGATTTAAGAGCATGATCAGCCCCGCCACCCCGTTTGCAAAAGTACGAAAACACTTTAGAAAGGAGTTCTTCCACTCTGCAACAGTCGGGCAGGGACTGACGATATTAATATTTAGTTGCACTTCCTCAATTTCTTAAGACACCTTTCTCAAAACAGACTCCAGGTCATTTAGGACAAAAGTGTACAGTTTAGAACAGTGGAAAACAATTACACACGTAAATTCCTTTACCCCATACAAAGCTAAAACAGTAATAAACATAAAATGGGGAGCTATGTTAATCTCCACCTATGGAATGCGCTCCCCAGAGAGGTCCGCCTGGCGCTACTGTTACTTGTTTTTTGGTGCCAGGCCAAGACCTTTTCATTTAAAAGTTATTTTAATTGTTAATTATTGATTGTATTTATTGGGTTTTTATGCTTATGCCGAGATGTTTCCGGATTTTTAAGGTTAATTATATGATTGCTTATTTTGCAAGCCGTCCTGAGCCTTATGCGAGTGGGGCGGCATAGAAATGTTCTAAATAAATAAATAAATAAATAAATATTGCAGAGAATACAACAAAAGAGTCTTGTGTTATTTGTGTTTGGACCAAAAAAGTCAAAATTTCAGCATTTCCCAGCTAGCCATTTGTCGTGCCTGACGCCTTGGCCGAGATGTCTACTCGCGAGGAAGAGACAGGAGCTGGCAGTGAGAGTTTGGCATTTGACCAAGGAGACTTATATTTGAGAACCAATGCTCAGACGGCCCAGACACAGCCTGACTCTCTGGCTGCTGAGCAAGAAACCTCTCCTCCACCTCATCCCTTGGCCCCTGAGCACACAACCCCCCTAAAAAAGCAATAAAAGTTATAGCTGATATAGCCTGCTGTGTGAGTTAATTGAAACGTGAGACCACCTCAGGGTACCGTGCTAGTTAGTAACACTGAGCGTGCTAGGACATTTTTCTGTCTAAAAATGGATAGGGTGACCTAGCATTCATTCTAGCATTATTGCCATTTTATCAGACTTATAGAGAATTTCAGAATTTAACTAACTCAAGTTTCAATAGTTCAACCAATGCTTTATGCAAGACTGATATCCTTGTGGTGTCAATCTCATCAATTTCAGCCTTTACTTTGGGACTTCCCATGCTAGTGGCAGAACAAAATGAGCAAAAGCTCTGCCATAATATGGCTGCTAAAAGCCTGACACTGTAAAAACAGTTTTAGACTTAAGATGGGTTTCCCGACCTGATCAAGAATTCATGTTGCAAATCTTGTTCCCCAGGTACATCTTAGAAATGCTAATGTTTACCTGTCCTGAATGGTCTTTTTGTTTTTTATGTCTTAATCAGATTCAACCCTATTTTACCCTCTGCCTACATAATCCCCTATTCTCCTCCAAACTGTGTATGTAACTGATAGGTTATAAAAATGTCTTGTACAGATTCCATCTTGGTAGTCCCTTTGACATTGGGAAATCCAGAAAAAAATCTGGTAGAAAAAGGTTGCTTAAGTGTGCCTTTGTGTTATAAAATGGAACCTGTGCCCCTTTCTCAGAAAGTAGCAGAATTCCAAGCCAAGTTACCGATTAGCGTTGCTGTTCCTTCAAGAGACTGGAACTCACAGCCTGAAAGTGGCTACTTTTGTGCTGATCAGCAACAACTGATAAGGTGGCCAGATAAGGTTTTTTTTTTAAGCAGATTGCAATCACCCTAATTTGCATGATCAAACTCATAGCTAAATTCTTGTCTTCCTGAACCATTAAGTCAATCTCTTGTAATCAACACTGTCCTCTCTGCAGATCTCTCACATTCTTTTGGATGTGTTCCCCTTATTTTGTCATCACCTGCCCTGCATGTATGTCGTGAGACTCAGAATGTATAAAACCCTCTGTTTATGTTCTGGAAGTTTGTAGTTGGTCTCAGCCTCTACCTGGCAGTGCTGTTCATAACTTTTGTTTCTGCAGAGGGTACCTGAGGGCTCTATCTAATAAACTGCTGAGGTTCGTAACAAATTCCATCTCCCTATGAATTTGAGCGTACATTCTCCCAGCTGGTATTTTGAGATTCTCTGACAGGCTACCTACATGTTCCATTTGTTCCATGTATATCTGAATAAACTGTAAATGTTCTTTTGATTGTACACCCCCAGAGGACTCTCTGCTTTTGCCTTGTTAATTAGCAAACATTTTTAAGAATGTGTTTCAAGTCTATCTCATCTGTAGCCAATGGCTGCTTTTGAATCTTTCTCCTCTTCATGCTTGTTGCTTCCCTCTCATTGCTAGTTGGCAACTGTACATAACAATTTCAGAATATTGTAGTGGAATCATACCCATATTTCAAAGCAAGCAAATCAATTGCACACAAATTTCAAGGTGAACAAGTAAGGTAGATCACTGAAAATGTTATGTAGATCACAAAAAACTTTATGGGAAGGGAGAAGCCCCCAGTTCAGATGTCATGCTCACTTATGCTGCAACCCCCTGTGATAATAACAAACCAAGGCTTGGCATGATGTGTGAACAGGTCGTTTCATTACAAGTCTGTTCTGTCTCGAACCCTATGCTAAATTTAGGTGTACCAAAATCTGTTGATTTGCTTACATTGGAGATTCTTCTATCTTCTTTTGGTCTGTCTTTACAGAATAGATTTCTATTTCCTATTACACAAAGGTAGAGGTTTGCACAAAATGAAAAGCCATGATAAAATCTTACTATTGTATGTCTGTTGTGTCATCCAGACCCAGTTCTGGAGCTCCGGTGTGATAGAATTAGTTTTCTGAAACCATAGATAAAATCAATGTTCTTGAAGGATTCAACCTGGATCCGGTCTTGGCATGCTTAGCCCAATGAACAGAACAAGATTGTGAGGGTCTAGATCAGGGGTCCTCCAACCAAGGCCCATGGGCCAGATATGGCCCACCAAGGCATTTACCCGGCCTGCCTCAGAGATTTCAGACTCGTTTGGCAAAAATGATCCAAAAACTCTGAGCTGGAGCAGGCGCACTCTGAAACTCTTTCAGTTTCGGAGACTAGCAGAGAGCCGGCACACACACCAAATTGTGACAGCTCCCTTCAACTGCGTGTGCACCGGCTCGCTCTGCTAGCTCTGGCTAGCTCCTGCTGCTGTGCTGGTCTTTCCAGCATGAATTGCGCATGTGCCGGCTCTTCCCCCTATAGCACGCATGCGTTGGCTCTGAATAGAGAGGAGTGAGAATACAGAGTGAGAATGCAGAAGAGACGAGCGGGAATACAGAAGAGAAGAGAGCAGTGGGAAGACAGATGGAGACACTAAAAAAAAGATAGAAGGAAAAAAATATTTTTAACTATATAATACTTTTATTAATGAATATTTCTGTATCAGATTTATTTTATTTCCTAAATGTAACTAACCGTGGTATTTTAGCATAAGGATCAGAGTGCAGCCCCTCACAGGTCACTGATGATAATTCTCTGTGTGATTATGTCAGCTGAGAGAGCAGAGTGTATGTGTGGAGGTTCCCTGTATTCTGTCATAACTATCTGCGCTCTGGCAGCCCTGAAATATGTACAACATGGCAGTGACAGGAACCACATGGCAGTGGAGAAGAGGTTGAGGGGCACAACTTCTGAAGCTGCAAAAAAATTATAGTTTTTTAATTAAAAAATATCACAGGATAAAAAAGAAATGCTAATAAACCAGGGAGATGGCTAGCATATAAAGTAAAAAAAGAAAGAGAGAAGAGACTGATTTTGAAACTGAAAGACAGAGAAGGACAACTACAGGTACAAAATACACAAATCAAGAAAATAGCTGAAGACTTTTTTGCACGGTTATACCGGAAGGAGGAGATTTTGATCGAGAAGGTAAAAGAATACATTCAAAAGGGAGACTTACCAAAACTACCAGAAAAGTATCAAAAATTATTGAACCAAGAAGTAACAACTATGGAAATAACAGAGGCAATCATGCAACAAAAGAACAATAAAACCCCTGGTCCGGATGGGTTACCAGCTGAATTTTACAAATCTTTGAGGGAGTTTTTGCTATATTTCTTAAAGATATATGTAATGAAGCATTGTTAAATGCTAAAATACCAGATACTTGGACAGAGGCAAATATCACATTAATACCGAAAGAAGATATGGACTTAACACAGATTCAAAATTACAGACCTATATCATTACTAAATGTAGACTATAAAATTTTTGCCTCTATATTGGCAGAAAGGTTGAACAAGTTTTTAATAGACTTTATTCATCCAGACCAAAATAGTTTCCTGCCTAAAAGACAAATGAAGAGCAATCTGAGGACTATCTTGGATATCCTAGAATATTATGAGACACACACAGAAAAATCAATGGCTCTACTGTTTTTGGATGCCCAGAAAGCCTTTGATAATGTTAATTGGCAATTCATGAAGCAACAGATGGCTTACATGGAATTTGAGGGAAAATTCATGAATGCAATATCAAGCATCTATCAAAGACAATCGGCCAGGATGTTAATTAATGGAAAACTTACAAGGGCTATAGAGATACAAAAGGGTACAAGGCAAGGATGCCTGTTGTCACCCCTATTGTTCATTCTGACTTTAGAGGGCTTGAATAGAAATGTCAGGGATGACGAGAACATTAGAGGTACTAAAATTAGGGATGAAAATTATAAATTGCAAGCATTGGCAGATGATTTGGTCTTCATAACAGAGGAACCTTTTGTAACAATCCCTAAACTTTTAC